TTGGGAAAGCCTCTCGAAAAAAATATCTCAAAAAAACAATTATTTGAAAATTTTGAATAACAAATTTTATTAATAAAAAAAATAAACAGTAAAATAAATAAATTCTATAAAATGATATTTAACTAAAAAAATATCTAAAAAAATCTTGGCATAAAACAAATAAAAATAAATAAATAAATTTAAATCATACCTAACCAAAAAATAAAAATTACTCGGGTAAATGGAGACTGATTTTCTCTTTACCAAATAAGTGGTAAACGTACCCAAAGTTGTAATATTATCCACAAATTAGCGATCTTACCCAAATAGTGGTTACCTTAATAATTGTAATATTAACTAAAAAATGGTAATCTTACCCCCAAAATCTACTAAATTTAGCCCCAATTTGTGGTATCCTTTTATAAAATAGTGGTAATCTTTTTAAAACAAGTTGTAATTTTACACAAAAGGTAGTAAGTAACCTTACCCCCAAAATCTGGTACATATCCCAAATAGTGGTATCGTTATCCCTAAAAGTGGTAACCATACGGAAACATTACCACCAACAACTGGTAACCTTACCCCCAAATTGGTAATTGTATCCCCAAAAGTGGTAACATTATCTCCCAAAAACTCCAAATATAAACCAAAACGTGTTACATTTACCCCTAAAAAGAGGTAACCTTACTCAACGCCAAAATAGCATGTAATTTCATCAAATTAAAATTTAATTTATCAAATTAACATTCAATTCATCAAATTCATATTCAATTAATAAAATTAACACCAAATTAACATTCAATTTTTTCTAATAAGCATTTAATTCATTAAATTAACATTTAAAATCAACTAGTTAACACTAAATTAATCAAAACAAACTTTTAATTTCATTGAATTAACTTTCCAAATCAAATAGTAAAGATTCAATTTATCAAATTAACACAAAAGTAACATACAATTTTATCTAATTAATATTCAGTTCATCAATTTGACATAACATACAATTTCATCTAATTAATATTCAATTCATCAAATTAATACCAAATTAACATTCAATTTTATCCGATAAGCATTTAATTCATTAAATTAACATTCAAATTCAACTAGTTAACATTAAATTAATCAAATTAACACCAAATAGACATTCAATTCATATAATTTATATTCAAATTCATCCAATTAACACGCAATTAATCAAATTAACATCCAAAATTATTTAATAAATATTCAATTTATCAAATCAACATCAAAGTAACATACAATTTCATCCAATTAAAATTTAATTTATCAAATTAACATTCAATATAATTGTTGTGTAATAAATGACATTTAATTGTGAAGTAAATGTACCACCATTGTTCCAACTACTATGATTTTCTCAACCTTGGACAAATTTGAATAATAGTTTGCATTTCTTCATCAAATTCACTCTTACAACCTCCATTCTTTCATCACCCATCGAACTTCAATCCAACATATTTAACGATCTTTTTCTTGATCATTCATGCAATTAAGTGGAATGCAAGGTATTGAAAGATTCTTATCAAACAAGATAAGTATTTAACGATCTTTTCTCTATATGTGTTTGTTATTAATTGTGTTATGTCCACAACTATTATCTTCTTATTTTAATAGGTAGAAATAGTAGTCATTTCTGAAAGATGAGATTTTTAATTATTTGTGCTTAGGTATAATCGACACAGATGGAAAAAGGAAAACAAGTTATTGTAGACTCAAATACTGATATAACAGATGACATATTGCATGATTTTGAAAATAATGAATATCAGAACATGGACTTCCATCAGAAAAGCAAGGATGAGTTAACATCCAATAAAGCCATTGCAATGAATGAAGATTTAACATCTACAGAATTCCTTGCAATGACAATCATATCACATGAAAATGTCAAACAATTTTATAACACATATGATAGATATGTGGATTTTTAGTGTTTGTAAGGATGACCTAAAGCATGACAAGAACAACATGTCAATTTCAAGACGGCAGGTTTGTTCGAGAAAAGGGTATCGGTCCACAAAGAATGCAGAACGCGTAGAACGATCAAGGAAACCACGAGGGTTAACACGGTTTGGATGCAAGGCAACATTCCGAGTGAAGTTTGATAGGAAGACACAAGAATGGGTTGTAAAAGAGTTTGTTATGGATCACAACCATGAATTGGTTCCACAACGCGGTGTTCCATTTCTCCGATCACACAGATGTGTCAAGAGCCCCGACGGAGTACAAGCTATATCATTATGCAATGTTGGTATGCAGAAAAGTCATATTAGAGATTTCATGTTGCAACAATCTGGAGGATATCCAAATGTTAGGTTTACCACAAAGGATCTCTATAATGACATGACATCCTACAATAGAGAAGAGTTGAGAGACAGTGATGTAGAGGGCGCATTAGCCTACTTGAGCATGAAGGAAAAGTTGAACCCACAATTCTATTTCAAGTATTCTGTCACTGAAGACAATTCATTGAATTGTTTGTTTTGGGCTAATTCGACATCTCAACTGGATTACAAATTCTTTGGTGAGGTGATGATGTTTGATACTACATATCGAACGAATGCATATAAGAAACCTTTTTTGATATTTGTCGGTGTCAACCATCACAATGCTACAACTATATTTGGTGTGCATTACTTTCAGACGAGACGATTGATACATGTGTGTGGGTATTGAATACCTTTCTCCATGCAATGAAAAATAAGAAGTTTGTATTTTTTATTATTGATGGAGATAAAGTAATGAATGATGCAATTGAAAGAGTATTTCCTCAAGGGACGCATCACTTATGTAGATGACAGTTCTTCTTCCTCTACATTTTTTCCCTATTATCCACAACTTGCATATACTTCTTTTTGCCATGTCCAGTGATTATACTGTTCTCTGGTCTAGTAGTAACAAGAAAAAAATCTAGTCAAAAAAGAGAACAATAACATGGCAGATTATCTATTACTTTTGACCAATAAAAATTGATGGATATGTGAGGAAAATAGGATTGCATTACTCTACTTTTGAACCATCATTCACAAAAACCATCATTCAATCTTTCAACCCAAAAACACATCCCTTATGCAACTATACAAAAATATGGTGAAATTGAGAGAGAGGGAGAGAATGGATTCCTCAAAGAAGAGGAGGGCAGTGGCGGTGGTTGCTTTGGATATGGCGATGGTAGTGGCTCCGATGGGAGTGACTCTAGTGGCAGTGGTGATGGTTGCTCTGGTCATGGCGGTGGCACTAACGATGGTTGCTCTGGGTGTGGAGATGGCGGCTGATCAGCAGTGGCGATTGCAGCGGCTCTGGTGGCACGATTTCGCTAGCTAAGAGAGAGATAAGGCTGATTTGGGGTTCGATTTGGGTTTTTGTTAGGGTTTTAGGTATGAAAAATCAAGTTTTTGAATTCGATTTGGGGTTCTAGGGTTTTGGGTATGGAAATTTTGGAGTTTAGGAGTTCTTTGATTTGGGAATAAGAAAAGAAAAAGGAGTTGATCGGTCTTTGGCCGGTTTGAGATTGTACCAATCTTATCTAGATCGGTCATGGTTGACTGTAGCAATCAAGTTTCGACTATGACTTGTCCAAAATAAATTTCATTTATACCCCTAAACAATCAACCTTTTTCAATTTTTTCCTCATATTTTTCATATTACACCCTCAACTATGTAATTAGTTTTATATTACCCCCAATTTTTTTACCTAATTTAATTTAACACCAAAAGGTGTTAACTTAACACCCAAATATGATAACTTTCCCAAATTTTGGTGAACTTTGGTTATACTTTAACCCAAAAAAGTGTTTCTTTATCCCAAAAAAATAATAACTATCGATAAAAGTTGTAAGATAACCCAAAAAATATAACCTTACCTATCCTTTCCCCAAAAAATGTTAAACTTATCCGTAAAAATTGTAACATAACCCCCCAAAATGGCAATTTTGCCCACAAAATTGGTTATCTTATCCTCAAAAGTGTAACCTTACTAAAAAGTGGTAGGATTTTAATACCCAAAAAATGTGATAAACTTTGTTGTAATAATTTTAACTTAACCCAAAATATAACCCCAAAAAATGGCAATTTTACCCAAAAAAATTGATCATCTTATCCCAAAAGTGTAACCTTACTAGTAACATTTTAATACCCAAAAAATGTGGTAAACTTCAGTTGTAATTTAGCCTAAAATAGTGTTGAACATACTTTGCCTAATCCTAACCTCCTAATATTTTTAACTTAATCCAAAATGGTAAATTTAATGTCACTCAATAACCCCAAATATTGTAAATTTTTCTTTATATTTTTATTTCAGGTTTAAATATGATAAATAATTATCATTTTTTAAAACTAATTTTAATTTCTATTATAACTTATTTTTAAAGTATATACCAGTTTCACTTATTTTTAAAGTATATTTAATACCCAAAAAATGTGGCAAAGTTTAGTTGTAATTTAGCCTAAAATAGTGGTGAACTTACTTATGTTTATTTAATCTTATATTTTTATTTAGGTTTAAATGTAATAAATAATTATGATTTTTTAAAACTAATTTTAATTTCTGTTATCACTTATTTTTAAAGTATATTCCGGTGTCACTTATTTTTAAAGTACATTTAATACGCAAAAAATGTAGTAAATTTTAGTTGTAATTTAGCCTTGAACTTACTTATTTTTATTTTTCCTTATATTTTTATTTAGGTTTGAATAAGATAAATAATTATCACTAATTTTAATTTATATTATCACTTATTTTTAAAGAATATACCGATTTCACTTATTTTTAAAAATATATACCGGTGAAACCGGTTATGAATTTTGAAGTATATAGGTGGCGAATATACACCCGTTTTTATTTTTTTGGTATAGTACCGACTTTTACCTTTTCGGTATTGAAGCCAACTCCGAATACTCAATACAAGAATCGGAACATGAGCAAAGGCTTCAGATATTCCATTATATTTTCTGTATAATAACACCTAATCGGCAACCACCAAAAGAAACTTCACACGGGGTCATTCAGATTGGCTTTCCATGCTATAAATATTGCCAATCACTCCAACAATGCTAACTATGACTGCTAATATCAACATCAACCATGACAAAAAGTTCTCTCCCTTGGTCAATCCATTCTTTTGTTTACTTAACCTCAACGCAGTAAGAGATGGAAATGTGAAACCCAGAGAGACTGCTGTCGTCGCCCCTGTAAACTTGAAGGCAGTCCAGATATTGGTAATCATAGTAGATCCTAAATATATAAGCCCTAAAAGTAACACAGTTAAGGCCAGACACCTCTTCCTACTCTCTGCAAGTGGAGCTGATCCCTCAAACACCAAGGCATCCACTGTTTGTCGTAAGGAGAAATGAATAACGGAGAAAACAATAACCAAAAGAAAAATGTACCCAAAGCGGACAATATAGTTCAACGCTGTGCTGAAACGAATCCCAAGATCCTTATCAAAATTAGTCAGGACATCGGATTCTGTATCCTTCCCGAAAAGTAAATAACCAGCTATGGCAGTGGATGCATAAACTAAAACACAAAGGACAGTAGTGATCCTCCCCACCCGGTTCATCATCTCAGGCGAGCATCCTTCAAGCTCATTATAAATAGGCTGAACATTGAAATGGCAGACATAAGCATTGGACATGATAGGAATAACCACAAGCAAATCCAAAATTGTTTGGTTGACCCAAAATCCGGAGTCATTCTTGGAGCGCCTCAATTTTCCCTTCGAAAAGCTTAATAGCAGCTACAATGAAAGCAACAAGAACAAACACAACAGTAAGAGCTACCGAAGCAGCTGAAGTTAAGCTCAATGAATCAATCTTATCCAATGCACAAAGTGGTGCGAGAAAAAACACCAAAAATAAACAAGATCACCAGCTTCCTATGATCCCAAAACCCATTTCCTAACCATTGATCAAAAACTCAAACATGATGAAACGAATCCGACATCACATCACCCATTATAATCAAATAAACAACCAAAACACCAGCATTGTTAACAATTATACAGATTTCAGACAACACCCTTGCTGTCCTACACAATGCAGCTTGAACCACCTCCCCATATGACGAAGCCTTACATTGAACAGAAAATCTAACAAGCAATTCAACACTAACTTCTAACAAAATGCCCATCAAAATTATCAACACAATCCCTAATATTAAACCCAAAACTTTCATGGTGGCAGACAAGGCCATAATCCCAGCCCCAATAACAGATGTGGTGAGATTAAAAACAGCACCATAAATCCCAGACCCAGATTTATTAGCACCGGCAAGAAGGGGTAAATTATCAAATTCTAAACCAAGATCATCATCGTGAAGATCATCATTGACGAGGCCAGATCTATTTGGGCTGGACCAAGTAAATCAACCAAGCCCAAATCCACTAGGAAGGTAGCCCAAGTCCAGTTCATCAATCCAACCCAATCCGAGATTTAAGGAGTCCATGAAGAAAAGAACAAGTGGGGAGAGATCATCAGGATGGATACACAAGAAATAAATTGTACTTACCTTTTGTAACTATCCTCCCCGAAGAATTAGTACCCCCACACTCACATCACCGCCTCACCATGCCTATAAATTGTAAGTCCTCTCCACATTAGAGGACACATCTCACCACACCTTTTTACACACACATAACTTCTCTCTCCTAGATATTGTACCTCTTCTGGAGCTAACCATTGCTCTCTCCTCCATTCACCCTAATTCATCAATAAAGACCCTCCGGCCACCGTTGCCGTTTCCCATAATGGAGTAGGCCACCTAGATCGAATCACTATATATCTGTGTGTTGACTCAATATTTATATTTCTGTCATTGATTGTTTTATTTATTGTCCATTAATTACACTTTATCACATTGCCAGCTTAACAAGAGCCCCCTCCCCCCTAGCAAAATACAATGCCCCTCACCAAGAGCGCCAAGTTCCACCAAATGGGGTCACCAAACTCCATGAGTATAGCCACTCTGGGAAAAATCACCAAAGAATACCCCCCAAAGCATACAAAGAAGATGAAGCCCACAGTTGGGCTAGGGCCGCCTTCCGAGAAAACAAGCTCCACCCCCTGCTTGACGCCAATGATCACATGGGGGAACAAAAAATCCGCGAACTCCAGAGGTAACTGGGCAACGTAAAAGAGGTGGTCAAGGGAAAGACTCCCGATACCATGGACGTTTTGGTCCAACAAAACGAATCATCATTCACACCTGAGGTCCTTCACTTTCCCCTACCACAGAAGTTTCGGATGCCTTCGATAGAGGCGTTCAATGGGACCAAGGACCCAATTGATCACTTGAATTCCTATAAAAACCAGATAAAGCTCCAAGGGTACCCAGACCCTATCCGATGCCGAGCTTTTGCCATCACCCTTAAGGGGTCGGCAATAGCCTGGTTTAACAGGCTACAACTTGCCTCAATCTCCTACTTCAGGAAGTTATCTATACACTTCGTATCCCACTTTGTAGGAGCAAGGACGTACAGGAAGCCATCCTACCATCTATTGAGTGTCAAATAGAGACCCACCAAGTCCCTCCAAAGCTATGTGCAACACTTCAATCAGGAGTGCCAAAAGGTGAAGAGTGTGGATGACAAATTCGCACTAACCACCTTCATGTCAAGGCTCGGGATTCAGTCCAAGGACCTCCTATTTTCAATAGCAAAGAACCCGCAGGCTACCATGGCCAAGGTGTTGGCGAAAGTCAAAAAATATATCAACGACGAAGAGGCCCTCCGCCTGCAAGGGGACTCGACGCCAATAGATGGAGACAAGAGGAAGAGGGACCACAATCCCAATAAAGAAAGGAAACACGAGTGATCACCGAGAAGGGATTGATCTCCGAGAAGAGGAAGAGAATTCCCCCTAAAAGGAAAGGCAACGTTCAGGACCGCCTAAGGCCTTCTCCACAAGACCTACAACCCCAATTTGTCCTAGCGCGGCTACCCCCGCTAGTCACATCCATCGCGCAGGTCCTTCACGAGGTTCAGAATGAGAAGTTCGCCCGATGGCCTCCTCAAATGAAATCCGATCCGAGAAGGAAAGATGCCTCCAAATACTGTGAGTACCACAAAGACACACGTCATGAGACAAATGATTGCATCCAACTTAAGGAGATTGAGTACCTGATCTAGAGGGACACCTACGCCACTACGTGGTAGGTCAAGAGAGACCTCAGAATGACCAAGGGTGGGGTGCCAGAGTAGTTACAGAGCCTCCCCAACAAAATTAACAAGCTCTCGATGAGAACTGCGTCATCTCAAGAGGGTTTGCTGGATGAGGCTAGACCAGCTCAACACGAAAATTTTATGTTAGGAGGGCACATTCAAAAGATTACCTTGAAATCCAGACCGTCCGAAAGGCACCCCATCGAGAAGTAGAGATAACCTTTTTGGATGCAGACCTCGGAGGATGTCAACACCCATATGACGACCCCCTGGTCATAAAGGCGATTGTCGCCAACAAAATTGTACACCAGGTGCTCGTCGACAATGGAAGCTCGCGGATATCATCTTCTTATCGAATTTTGATCAGCTTGACATAGAAAGATCAAAGCTTGAGCCCGTGAAATCCCACTTATTGGGCTTCTCGGGCGAGAAGGTCTTGCCAGTTGGTTCTATCCATCTTGTCCTCACCATAGGAGGGTAGCCCTGTCAGGTTACAACCATTGTTCGATTCCTAATAGTAAATGCCCCGTTTGCTTACAACATTCTGTTGGGAAGGCCATCCCTCAATTCCATCAAGGCGATACCTTCGACATACCATTTGGCGAGGAAGTTTTCCACTGAAAATAGGGTCGGCGTGGTCAAGGGGAACCAACGTCTGGTCGGAGAATGCTATGTTGCGTCAATGAGCAGAGAGATATGGAATCAATCTAGCTAGAAGATCTACACATAAGAGATGAATTGGATACCAAACCTACCCCTATAGAGCAGCTGGAGCCCATGTAGCTGGATGAGGATCCAGAACACGTGGTTTACATAGGTTCCATGTTGTTCCCGCTCATAAAAGAAAAGCTCATCTCATTGCTAAAGGAGAACACTGACACTTTCGCCTGGAAACAAGAGGACATAGAGGGAATAGACCCCGCAGTGATCGTACACCGATTGAGCGTCGACCCATGCTGCAAACCCATCAGACAAAAAAGGAGGAACTTTGCGCCAAAAAGGCAAAAAACCATTAACGAGGAGGTGGCCAAGCTGTTGTGGGCCAAAGCCATCAGGGAGGTCAATTACCCAACCTGGCTGGCTAACGTCGTGCTTGTAAAGAAGATAAACAACAAATGACGACTCGGTATTAACTTCACTGATTTGAACCGGGCATGCCCCAAGGACAGTTTTCCCTTACTTCGAATAGATCTGATAGTCGACGCCACTGCTGGCCATGAGCTCCTCAGCTTCATAGATGCCTTTTCGGGCTACAATCAAATCAAAATGGATCTCAGCGACCAAGAGAAGACATCGTTCATCACAGAGTAGGGGGTCTACTATTACCAAGTGATGCCCTTTAGCTTAAAGAACGCCGGAGCCACCTATTAGAGGTTAGTCAATAGAATGTTTCATGAGAAACTCGGTCTGACCATGGAAATATACATAGACAATATGTTTGTGAAATCCCTTAAGGCTGAATATCATATCCACCATCTCGGAGAGTCCTTCGAAATTATGCGCCAATACAGAATGAAGTTGAACCCAGTGAAATGTGCCTTTGGAGTGTCGACAGGAAAGTTCCTAGGAATCATAGTCAACAGCAGAGGTATCGAGGAAAACCCCGAGAAGGTTAAGGTCGTCCTTGAAATGAGACCCCCCACCAGCACCCAAGAAATGCAGCGCCTGATCAGGAGAATAGCGGCACTCAACCGTTTCGTCTCACAATCAAGTGATAAATGTCAACCTTTCTTTAAAGTCCTGAAGGTGGCCTTCCAGTGAGATGAGGAATGTGAGGAGGCCTTTCTGGCCCTTAAGGCTTACTTGGCCTCCCCGTCTATGCTGGTGAGCTCCAAAGAAGGAGAGGTCTTGACCCTTTACTTAGCCGTATCAAAATTTTTAGTCAATGCCGCCCTAGTGAAGGACAAAGAGAAAGTCCAACAGCTAGTTTACTTCTGCAACAAGACCCTCTGAGGAGCTAAGGAGAGATGCCCATAAATGGAGAAACTCGTGTTAGCTCTCTTAGTGGCAGCCCGAAGACTAAGGGGGAGCTTAACGAATTTGACATCAAGTTCAAACCCAGAACTATGATCAAGGGACAAGTCTTGGCATATTTTCTTGCGGAGTTTACCTCGCCACCTGAAGCAAGTGTAGATAATCATGACTGCATCCCCGACATGCCGACCTAGAAGTTATATGTGGATAGGGCCTCAAAAGCCAAGGGATATGGAGCAGGCCTTATCCTTACCTCCCCGGAAGGCTACGACTAGGAGTACGCCTTGAGATTCAACTTTCACGCGTCCAACAACGAGGCAGAATATGAAGCCCTCATAAATGGCCTAAAATTGGCCCTATCGACGAAAACACAATAGATCGTGATCTACAGTGAGTCACAGTTGGTAGTCAGGCAAGTCGAAGAAGAGTACGCTGCCAGAGATGAGAAAATGGCGCTCTACATGACTAAAGTGCATAGGCGCCTAAAAAGGTTTGTCTCGATCAAGCTGGTCCAGGTTTCCTGGGAGGCCAACTCCTGAGCCGACGCCCTGGCTAAACTAGCCACTATCGGTGAACATGACTTATCCGGGAAAACACCCATTAAGACACTGACCCAGTCCAGCACACAACTCGGTGAGGAGCTGGATAGAGAAAATCAAGCCTTGCCAGTCAAAGAAGGTACTTCCTGGATGGACCCCATTGTCTCATTCCTGTAGGACAGAGTGCTCCCCGATAACCCAATAGAAGCATCAAAGTTGAGGTCTAGGGTGGCTAGGTTCATGTTGGTTAGAGGTAACTTGTACAAAATAGGTTTTTCTTTTCCACTAATGAAATGTGTATCTGAACCAGAAGTAGATTACATCCTGAGGGAGATCCACGAGGACATGTGCGGAAACCACATCGGAGTAAGGACGTTGGCAAGTAAGACACTACAACAAGGTTACTTTTGGCCAACCATATCTAAAGACGCTAAGGAGATAATGAAGAAATGTTAAACTTGTCAAATTCACGGCAACTTACCGCATTGTCCACCAGAACAGCTTACCCTTGTGGTTAGCCTCTGGCCCTTTCAGCAATGGGGATTAGATATTCTAGGACCTCTACCAACCAGGATCGGACAATGCAAGTTCGTCGTGGTCACGGTAGACTACTTCACAAAGTGGGCTGAAGCCGAACCTCTAGCCAAAATCACGGCACAAAAGGTCAAGAACTTTGTT